ATATTGTCATTTATCTCATTTGTATTCATAATTTAGTATTTTATATTATAAATTTATTTAATTTTGTTATTGTTATTAATGTATTTTTGAGAATTTTCAACAAAAATTTAAGATAGAACTTCATAATAAAAATTTGGGCTAAATAGTTCGAGGACTATCATAAAAAATCAGATATATTTGAGGGCGCTACAATAATAAAAGTTGCTATACAATACTTCATTATCATTTTTATAGTACGAGTTTTGTTCAGCCCCTAAATAGATTTCAGTTTCAGCAATTGCCCCTAAATTTCATTCAAGGTAGGCATTCTCTTCCCTTCTAATAACAGGAAGAAGTCGCCGAATGCACCATGTGGAAAATACTTCAGATGCGGAAGCAAATCGAGGCCTATATCACACAATTTTGCCATCGTTGATTATAAAATAATTAAAAATTTGTTTATGTCATGAATTTGCAGAGTTTGCTAACGTATATTACAATTTTTTAAACAATTAAAGAAACACAATATTACATTTGAAATTTAGCTAGAGAAATACAAAATATTATTAAAAAGTAAATAATATACCATTTTTGTATATATGCATATGCAGACATCATTTTGAAGGCCTGAAGAGAACCTTGGGAATTCCTGAATTCCTGAAATATTAATATTCTAAAACTCAACCTTTTGCAGCTTTTTTGCACATCCAAGCTAATTTCACATTACATAGTATATATTTTAAAATACTGCTAAATTGATCTAAAAGTTTTTCAAAACGGAAAATATAGAACTGTAAATGATATGCCTAAAGAAACCTTATAAATGAGTTTATTGTCACAGACATTGTTTACTATTTAGTACTAAATCTAGATTATCTGATAAATAACATTAAAAAAGAACCGTTATACTGCATTTAAGATCTCCCCCGCTTAAGCTTGAAGCTCGTATCAACAAGCTATGGATTGTTTTACATATTCAAAGGCAAAGCTGAATTATTTTTACCATATAGAGATAAGAAAACAAGTTTGTTTTCATTATTTCAATACATACATAAACATTAACATGCATTTCATATTTTAATTTCGACTTAAGAGCATTAAGCGCCAACTGTCAAAATTTGTTTGCAACAAAAAGACAAAACAAAAATATATTAAAAAATATATGTATATGCATAAATCTAAATATAACATTGGCGCACAAAACATGTCCTGAAATCCAATTTTTGTTTATTTTCTTTTGCCCATTTATGAATTTTGCTTTTTTGTTTCTTTTTTTTTTTTTGTGTTTTATCACTTGGCATTTTGTTATGCCTTTTATGGCCTTAACGGCATAAAAAAAAGCAAAAAAAAAAACATAGATATATGTATTTTTTATATATGATTTCAACACAGCATAAAAAAATGCAATTTGAAAATGTTGCGCTCACCGTTAGAATCAATTCACTGCGAGATTAACCGTTAAACTCAAATCGCACACTTAAAAAAGTCAATTTGGCTGCAAATCTTTATTATTTATTTATGATTTTTTTCAATAAGTTTTTTTGTTTTAATTTAAAA